CTGAATGTACATCGTGAAGAGCACCGGGCCTAGGACCGAGCCCTGGGGTACTCCGAATTCGAGATTAGATTTCTTTGAGGTCAAGCCGTTTGAAATAACTGACTGGACCCGATTAGTCAGATACGATCGGAACCAACACAGGACGGTATCAGTGAGACCGAACGTTTGTTGCAGACGCTGGAGCAGTATGCCGTGGTCGAGCGTATCGAAAGCTGGGGAGAGCCACTACTTTAGCACGCACCTCCCAAAATCGATGTCCATTTTGGAAAATTTAACAGAGATGAATTTTTAAAAAAAAGGATTTAATAAATCAATGAAACTTTATTTTATGATGATCCTCTCCCTCATTTTATTCCCCCCCCCCCATCCCCCCCTCCTCCTTTTACTCATCATTTGTTTCCCCACTGTCATACATAACATGTTTGTCCTCATCATATTTTATTTCTTGTCATTTTTGTCTGGATCTGTTGTACCAAGCATTTGTAACTAATATTTTGGTAAATGGCATTACAGATTTTCAGTTATTATCATTTTTTTAACCATGCACCATATTACTAATAATATAACATATACAAATGACAAATGACAATTAAATAAACCAGTCATACTGGATTTAAAAATCATGAAATCAAAATTTATTATAAACAAATTTTAATAGTTTTCTTAACATTGCATTAAGTAGTTAACAGTTGCTTTGAAAGAATGTTTTTTTGTAGAGAATACACTCCAATCCTGTTACGTCTCTATGCATGGTTTATTCACATAAGAGTTTCATATATAAATAACAAATCACTATTCTGTTTCTTGTGTTTTGCAAAAATGACTTTAAAATTCAATTTAATACTTGAAAACACCATAAGCTGCAGCAACACAGAAGAGAGATTCCTGTAAAAAAAAAAGAAAATGAAGACATTTAGAGGAAAATGACATGCAAAAAAATTGTTTTAACTTCATTGAAAAGCAGTTTGAGGACAGATCCCATAATTAATAATTATTAAAATTAGAAAAATTAACTATTTTCTAAAATAATTTTTATCTCAATTTGGAAGTATGTCAATTCTGGTACAAAACAAAAAAAAATGATAATGTTCACAATAAAACAATAACTAAATTCAAAGCTCATTGTCAACTTTTATTTTGGTTTAGAAGGAAGAAATGACACCTGAATCAGTATATAAAACAAAAAAAACAAAAAACCAGCAAATAAATATTAATTGTTATTGAGTTCACAGTTATGGAAAAGAGAGTAATAGCATTTTGCCCCAGTCCTCTATAAAATATTAGTATTTATACAGCCAAATCATTTTCATGTGCTGAATAAAAGATCTGCAGCACAAAAAAGTTGTTTCTCTGGAATTAGAGGTTTTGTAGTAAGTTATAAGAAGCTTTAAGCAAAATAAAAATAAAGAGATTATAAATATTTAACAAAATCGCCTTAAACAAAGCTACTGCATTGTCACTCTATCCCAAGGCCACATTTTCAAGACAGAATAAAAATTGTGCATGTGGTTATTTTTTCTGTAAGTCCATCTGGATACATTATTACATTATTATACACTAACCATCACATACTATTAAAAAAATGATCACACACTAAACATTGAATCTACTCACATTCATAAATATGTCTTGTGCATAATTGTCTGTATCAGAATCCCAAAAACATCGACATCCCATTCTGTTAAGAATAGGGTGAGAAGTTAAAAATAGGGTGAGAAACTAATACAATACCAATACAAAGGAAAAAAAAAGAAACCATATTTATTTATGTACCACAATATCTGATAAAAAATGGCGTAAAATCCCTTTGTTGTTATTGAAAAAATAATAAGTAACCATGCACTGTGAGAAGAAAAATATTTAATTGCACAAATATTGATTTCATATTAAATAACCTTATTGTATGCTAGCTGAAAAAAATAATAAGGGGGGTACAGCATTCAGGTTTACTAATAATAAATAAGAATCTTAAGGTAGGGAAAACCTATTTTTCAGGGTTCCCCCAACCTTGTGTGCTTATTTCCTATTGAATACTGATTTTTAGCAATTAGTATACTTACTTGACACCTTCTCCTCTCTGCTCACCAATGACAACTTGCACAATGAATTTATATCTTTCATGACCCATATCTAAAATAAATAAAGATAGGCTACAAATGAATTGTGTTAAATAACACAAGTAACCCTTAACTAAATATTTGTCCCAGCAGTTGATGTGGCATAACCAAAAGTGGAAGGTAAAAAATTTACTTTTAGAAACAGTCTGGCGCCCTATAAAAATAATGTTGTGTGGGACTAGGGGTTGTGTGGAGAGATTATTTTTGCACTTATGTCTTTTCACCCTGAAAGTGTGGAGTAATTCTTTGTGAACATATGTCTTTTCACTAAGAATTCTTCCCTAACTTGAAGTTTTAAAGAAACTGATATTTAAATATTTAAAATATCCAATGCACTTGATTAAAAGTTTAAATTTAATTTTTGTCCATGCTCTATTCAAACCATGACTAACCTTTTAATTTTGATTTAATAGTGTCTGCGATAGTTTTGGTTAAACCTGTGGTTTCATCTGCACTGTAAACAACTCCTGTTAATTTCTCCCCAAGGACAGTGTGAATCATTTCTTTGACATTAACAGGTCGAAACCTATTAAACGCAAGGGAGAAGCGACAGAAAAATTAGAATGTTATACATTTTTCCTAAAAAAATTCTTCCACAGAAACTGGCAATTCAAATGCACTCTTTCACAGATTTTGAGAGTCATCTTGACCCGGGATGATAAAAACATTAATTTGCTACAAGTAATCCTTTGTCAAGCCAGTCTCAGTCAACGGATTGGTAAATGTCTTTAAATGTAAATTATTGAAGATAATATGTAAGTCATGCCATGTCATGAGTCCCTTACTAACTGTGAAAGTCTGTTATTTTGTTTAAGTAATATTTCTAAAAATAAAAATGTAGTGCAACTTACTTTTCAAACTAAATTGTTAAATAAATGTTTGTTATTGTTATATAAAGTCACATACTAAATTTAATTTCCAGAAAAAATCCTTAAAAGTTATTTTCTTGAAGATAATAAATTTAAACAACAAGTAGATCTATATGATTTTAGTTTCTAACTAATGCTAATACAATCATCAATCAGGAAACAGAACTTACTTTTGTGAAAAATTAGGTCGAATAATATAAGTATTTTGTGCTGTTTTATCACTCTTTTCTGCAACTGCTACTTCACTTAAAATATCATTAACTCTTGTCTTTGATACCGATGTCTCAGATTCTGTTAGTTCTTCACCCATTTTGCAGCAGTGTAATAAATAAAATACTTAAAACAGCGTCAATGTGATTTCCTTCAACCAAAACGAACCATGTACAAAACATTCAAGATGGAGTCCCTAACAACGACAGGGAGATAATTCAAATTCATTTTTGTCTTAATTTTCTCCCCATTGCAAAAAAAAAACAAAAAAACAAAACAACAACCCCCACCCCCACACCCAAAAAAAAAAAAAAAAAAAAAAAAAAAAAAAAACAACACCACCCCCCCCCCCCCCACCAAAAAAAAACAAAAAAAAAAACAACAAAAAAATATTTAAAAAAACGCACCAAAAAACAATAATTTTAAAAAATATAACCATAATACAAATTTTTAAGATTGTCAATTCTAAATGACAGCTTATTTTTAATATTTCTAGTCAAACAAATTTGCATCCACTAAGGTGTATAGAAGCAAAATCAATTTTCAGGGGGTGGGGGGGGGGAGTTCAGCTTAAATGAGGCCTAACTTAGGCCTATTGATAAGGAGAATTTATCGAATTAAAAGATGCTTCACTACAAACAGGGATAGAAGTAAACAACCCAATAACAAAATAGCCTACATTACTATGTTAAGGAAGCATCAGACAGACGAAGCCATTGAAAATTAGAACCACACTTTTGAAAAAGTAAATCAATTCATATATCTTCTTCAATTAAATGAAAGAAAGAAATTACTAACAGAAATAAAAGAAAGAATATCACACGGAAACAGGGCATACTTTAGTAATCACAAAGTACTCAAAGGTAAAAACATTATATAAATAGAACTTTAGTAAGACCAGTAGTAACATACGCAAGTGAAATTTGGACCCTAACACGAAAAGACGGAAAATCCATTAAATCACGGGGAGAAAATTTATCCAGAAAATATACGGACCGACAAAGGATGAATATGGATGGAGAATACGAACCAACTATGATTTAAATGGACTATACTACACGCTAGTACCAGAAATAAAAAAAAAAGGCAGATTGCACTGGGTGGGACAATTAGAAGGAAAGACAAGTGACGAGGGTGCACCTTCAAAACCCCAGAGGAAAACGACGCAAATGCAGAAATGGGCTTAGATGGATAGTCGAGGTGGAAAAAGATCTACAGCAGCTGGGAATCCAAGTCCAAGCATGGAAAAGAAAAGCATTAGTTGGGTCTATGTAGAAGGAAGTCATGAGGCATGCGAAAGCTTTTTATGTGCTGCAGCGCCACAGGGATGAATATGCGAAGGAAAGATGTTGATCATTTCACCACATTTTGTTTCAATATTGTGTAATTTGACTTGTTTTAGTCATTACAATTTAATTAAATCTGATAATATAAGAAAGTGCATTAAAATATGAAATGAATTTCGTTTATTAAGTTAGATGTCCCAGGCGGAGTAGAGCAAGATTAATATCAATAATTAAAAAAAAAAAAATTACATTCATCACTGCTAAAATTGCCCGTTACACCGCCACTCCATTCTATGCAATAATTATATAAGCATGTCTACTGCGCAGGACTAACAACCAGGCGATGTAAAATAAAATGTAAAAAAAAAAAAAAAAAAAATGTTACGAAAGAAAAAAAAAATCCATGTCTATTGGAAATGATATAAATCTTAAAATATATATTTCATTTACAAATCCCGGGGTAAGTGTCAAGAAAGTTATATTTCATTCTAAAAGACGACAAAAAATTCATCATTACGCTGGGTTATTAATGTCAGACTCTATCTTGAAACATTTTTTTGCTCTTATAAAAATATATATGAATCCAAGATTTACATTTTTTTAAAATCCACAAGGGTTACAATAAAATTTGTGGGGGATATTTATTTATTTCATGAGTGCTGTTCTCTTGGATGCTTTTCTTTTAAAAAATAAAATAAATAATATTTCTAAAAATAAACTGCGAGTACTTTCCCCTGATTCACACCTGACGAGGAAATGTCCCCTGCCCTGATTTCAACAGCTTCGTCAGGTGTGTTAGCGGAAGTTTTCTTTCTATTTTTTTTGGACACGCACGACACAAGAGTTAACGACCCGTAATGAGTAAGAGTTATTCAAGTCTTAGCACTGGATACACGAAGACATAAGATTATTTTTTTTCTTCACATTCGGAACTCCTTAAAAAAATTCTTAGGAAACAGTTTACATCTACAGTGGATCCACCATGACAGGTCAGTTAAACGTTTTCTTCATTATTTTAACATCGGTGTTTGTTTATTTTGTTTGGCTAATTTATTATAGCAAAGTGTAGCTATTAATTAGACTAAGTCTAGTGTAGTGCTAACATAGCAGTTTATGCTCATCATAGTACACTTAGCAATCGATCGAGGATGGATACGGAAGGACACTGTTTTGAGGTATTGTGTTTTCTATAATTATATAATATTAATATTATAATTTAAATTCTTTTATGGCTTTTGTTTTATTTGACTTAAATTTTGGCCAACTGGCGTCTTTTCTTTTTTTTTTTCTTTCTTATTATGATGTTTTTATTTTTACTGTTAGTTAATTAAGCCACAATAACATATAATTATGTATAACGATCTTCGTATCATTATGATTAGCATTTATTTTGTATGTTCGGCTCGTCTGTTGTTTTAGGTGTTTTAATTCTTACAACTAAACTAAGTATTTTGCCAATGGAATCTCTTAACTTATTTATTAATAATAAGACAGCTCTAAACTTATTTATCAATAATAATTATTTTTAAACAAAAAAATGTAGTAGCCCTAACTAACCCAAAGAATAAGTCTGAGTCTGAGAAACTTGATTCTTTAATTTTTGATAATAATTTTATTAAAAAAAAGGCCAGGAGTAGGAGTGTTAGTGTTAGCTGACCAAAGTAGTGGCATGGCATTAGTGATGTTGTAGTTTTAAAAGTTTGAGCAAAGATGCAACATGTTATTGTCTATTCAGTTTCAGTCAGGCTGAAATAAAATGCGCTTCCTTTGCTTATTATTATTATAAGCTTGAAAATTGCTATCCGCCTCGATTTTTTCCGACCCCACCACCACCACCCCCTTGTAAGAACTGTAACAGTGCCGTGTTTATCTGGATTCCGAGCCGACCAACTGACACGGTGTCTCCTCAAATTACCTGCAAAAACAATGTCTAGCGAAGCTCTGTCATTGTCCTAGAAAGGACCAGCTGAGATTAACTGTGGGCCCAGTGTCATCTTTAAAATAAAAAAAAAAATAAAAAAGTTTAATATTTAAGTCACGCGATTTTAGAATGGAGAGTCTAAAATTCATACTAATCATACTTATCATGGTAATTTAAGATAGTTATCATGATCATTTCAGTCCGATCATAGAATATTCTACAACCTTACAGTACGCTACTCTCCAAACCGTCCTTCATCTTCTGTGTCTTGTTACCTAAGTACAGAGTTTAATTAAATTAAGCGGTCGTTTTTATTGTTTGGAAAGGTGGTCGAGAGTAAACAAACAAAAAGCATATGGTATGAAAGTACTGTAATAATGCTGTGTGAAACGTCATCATAAACCATATGGAAGTACTGTGTGATATTGTATGTAAAACATCAACACAATCTGTAGTTGGAAGTTTGCCTACTGTTATGTGATGGTAATCTTAAAACATGGGCAAAAACACTCCCTTGGCCGAAACTATTTGAAACAATGATGCCAATGAGGTGGGCATCTACCGCCAGCCAGCTTACACATAAAAGGCGAACAGTCAATATGTACCCCAGCGTGTACGAGTCTACGACACCGAGATACGCAGGAGGGCGTGGCTAATGTTGTGGTCTGTAGCAGTTGTGGAGATTAGCTTATGTCAAAGCTCCGAATACGTCTGTCGACGGCCTTACTTACACGAAGCACGCAGTAGTCACCCTTTGATAAATATAAACTCTAAACATGCATGACGTGGTTAAGATGACTCAAGCAAATTGCATTACGTTTACGTTAAAAAAAAAACACCAAACAAATCAATTAATCCAAAAGGATACGATGGGGAGGACAGGCTGACAGTTGCTGGAATGTTAATTGAAGGCGCCGTGATCGCCACCCACCACTTACACCTAGCGAGGTCGTCAAACATTGGCTGGTTTTGTATAGTTTTTGTTGTTGTTGTATTTGAAATATTATTATTTAGGTGGTTTTATATAGCGCAGTACCCCAGACCAGGAGGGCCAGGCTCACTGCGCTTCACATAAAAAAATAGCAATTACAGAAAATTATACATTTAAAAACAATTGGTGAAAAGCTTGAACTCACCCACCCAAGTGCTAGCTACCCCTGTCTAGCCACGGACATCATTCAGCCAAGTACTATCTACCCCTGTCTGGCCATGGACATCACCCACCCAAGTACTACAACCGACCCCTGTCTGGCCCTGAACATCACCCACTCAAGTACTACTATCTACCCCTGTCTGGCCCTGGACATCACCCACCCAAGTACTACTATCTACCCCTGTCTGGCCCTGGACATCACCCACTCAAGTACTACTATCTACCCCTGTCTGGCCCTGGACATCACCCACCCAAGTACTACTATCTACCCCTGTCTGGCCCTGGACATCACCCACCCAAGTACTACTATCTACCCCTGTCTGGCCATGGACATCACCCACCCAAGTACTACTATCTACCCCTGTCTGGCCATGGACATCACCCACCCAAGTACTACTATCTACCCCTGTCTGGCCCTGGACATCACCCACCCAAGTACTACTATCTACCCCTGTCTGGCCATGGACATCACCCACCCAAGTACTACAACCTACCCCTGTCTGGCCATGGACATCACCCACCCAAGTACTACTATCTACCCCTGTCTGGCCCTGGACATCACCCACCCAAGTACTACAACCTACCCCTGTCTGGCCATGGACATCACCCACCCAACTCCAACCCGGCTCCCGCAATTCTATAACCCGGCTCCCGCAACTCGGCACCAATTGATGCATTTAAGAGTTTGACAATTCCCAGACGACAACCCATGAAATATTACCACGGCTCACAGGGACGGGCAGTGGGTAAGATGGTGGTGATGATTTTGGTACGTAGTGGTCTATAAAGTTGAAAAAGCACCCACGGTGGAGCTCTAGCATAGTTTCCACTCACATTCATTCATTAA